TCTTCCTCCGTGCTGCTATTATTGTTCTACAGAAGCTTTGTGTTTGACAGAATCATATTGTGGTTAAATGCCCCTGGCTGGAGACGTCTGAGTCTTCGGGCATGAAAGCAGGTGCCAGGTGGGACTGAATGCCTGCTGCCACGCTGCCATCTGATTGGCTGTTTGCCGAGTGTTGCTGTTGTCAACAGACTCAGTAATCATGGCGAGTGTGTGAGGACTAATTACGCTGTGTTCACAAATGCACAAATAACCACACGCATTTATAAATCTTGTTTTTAGCTGTAGCTGGTGTAACGTGTTTGCCTCCATTACTGAGACAGTCCCCGTCATGGTTAGAGCCATCGGTTGAGGTGGCGTCGCAGATGGCTGCCCCGGTTCTGTACAGGAAACAAATTCCTTGTGTGTAACATACTTGGCCAATAAAGGTGTTTATCCTTAGGAAGAAGAATTTGTCAGAGTACGCCTTGGCGCCCGTTGGAGTTGTGTGTTTGGGCCTTTCTAACTGAGCTGTGACATTAATAGTTGGTGGACAACAGTGGAGGTCTACGGCACAGGGTGGTGAGCTGGACCAGGGTCTGGACTCACAGAGGGACCCAGAAGGGATGCTGTGAGTGCTTCCTTCAGGCTCTTCTGTATCTGTCCCATGTCCCGACCTCTCTGCCGTGGCTGTCCCCGTGTCCTGCGTCTCATGGCTCGTTAAAGTGGTGTCTTAATTGTGACATTTACAAAAAGACGTCAGGAGAAGCAAACAGAGCCGCAGCTGTACCACAGACATTGTTCTGTCCAAACAGGAAGTCGGCTCAGTGCGACTTCGTAAATCACACTGACAGCAATGCTGCCAACTGACAGGGGGGGAGGATTTCAACCTCCAAACGCCTGTCTGAGGTGACCTGGGGCTGAGTCTGAGGTGACCTGGGGCTTTCCGTTGCAGTGTAGCCTCAGTGTACCGTGACCTTTGACCCTCCTGTACCCACAGAGAGTTTGTTCTGTTGCAATGAAAACAGGTTGTGAGGAAAGAGGCTGAGATGAGTGTGTGTGTTTTTAGGGTGGTCGTCTGGAGTGTGTCTCTAGAGGAGAGTGACAGCAGTGACCCGAGGCAAACGCTTACGATCATGTTTCTGTATCTGAGAGGTCCCTCGCTGTCATAACATGCTCCTCATTCTCTGACCTTAAACTGAACCCAGACACAACAAAATAAGCTTTGTCGAAAAGTGAGGGCAGGAAGAAATGGTTGTAATTCCATGAAAGCACCTCACGTTCCAAACATGTCTCTGACAAAAGCCCGCATTATCAACACGTCCTCACTTTCCAGAAGAAATTCTCACTTTACAACAACAAAGCCCCAGATAAGGAACCTGCTTCACCAAAAGTGTCGGCCTTCCACAGGATGTCTTCATTTTCTAAACACACGCTTACTTAAAAAACATCCCCATCCTCTAGAAAAATAACCTTCCAAAAAGTTACCTCAGCATCTTAAACATCTCAACTTTGATAAAATGTCCTCATTTAGCAAAGTGTCCCAACTAATTTGTGGATGCGATGTCATTTTCTTCTATCTAGTCAAGTTGATCATGAATCTTTCCAGAAAATATCACCAGTGTTTCAAAATGTCCACACCCTCCCAACAAAGGTACTTTGTAAACATGCTAAGTTTCAAGAAAAGTCACTTTCTATAAAAACACACTTGAGAAAATGTCCTCACCCTTTCCCAAAATCATCACTTCTCAGTTTCCAGATAAAGAACTCGTCTTCCAACAAACAGTCCACACCTAACAGCAGTGTCCTCGCTTTACAAGACACGGTCTGGTTTTCCAGCGTGTCCTTGTCCTCGTTTTGCTCTGAGCCCCATTTAAACTAAATCTTTGACTCTCTTCTTGCACAGTGAGCAGGTAAATTATGGTTCATAACGTGAAGTCACTTTACACCTTTGGCTTTTTACTGTCTGACTTTCCTCCATGATAGTTTGACAGTTTCCTGCAGTGCCACCGCCAGTAAAAGTATTTCATGCTTTCACCTTCCAGGGAGCAGGAGGCCTCAGGAAGCTCCCTGAGAAATGTGATGCTGATGTGGGTTTTACAGCTTCTGCCTTCTGCAGGAAATGTGTAATGTCCTGCAGTCACTGCCTGTTCTGGCTGTTTCAGCAGAGATGACAGAGACAAGCTGTGAAATCCGTCTCATCTCTGAGCAGCTGTCCTGCTGCAAACAGCTGGGCCGGTTCTGACGCTGACCCCCCTTGGTGTTTCCAGAGACGGCAGCACAGGGGCTCCAAACTGTTGTCGCTGCTTTTGTTTCCCTGCTGGGTGGTTTTCCAGGCGGAGGGCTGTTTATGGTCCAGTGTGGAAACTAAACTGGTTCCATTTTAGGGCAGAGGGCCCCAGGGAGCCATCATTCACCAGGGAGTGTTTTTGTGCCCTCGCTCGATAAAGATTAGCTTTGTGTTTTTATAGAAGCGGGTGTGGGGGAGTAAAAAACACTCTGTGGGATGGTATCTTTATTTCAGACTCGCTAACAATGTAGAAATCTGCTATTTCCCAGAGGGAGAATCGAAGGAATCTCACTGTGTGTCCTCACTTCCTTACTGTGTGAAAAATATTCTAAGCGTTTGTGCTGACCTTCCCCCAAAATGTCCTCACTTTATGAGAAATACTCCTGCTTTCCAAAGTCTGTGTACTTTTCAAAATGCATCTCTGAAAACCACTCCACTACAAGTAGATGTCCAGTATTACCAGCAAACTGTTCTTGGAGTATCCAAAGTAAAAGTCATTATACAGAAAGTGGCCTCTATCAGAATCTTGCATGTTGCTGCTGCGTCTACTCGGTCTATGATAAAATAACCCTAACAACATGTATGTTGCATTTCACTGCTACTTTCTACACTGCATCATCTTCTATACAACAGTTGATTTTGCTTTAGAGGCAGGAGACTCAGCCTACAACGGAACAATTATGGTTTCTTTCATGAAAATCACTGTTGTTTCTAATTGAATGGTGTTTGTAAATGTGTGTTTTCCAGTGGTAGAGCAGGTGGTTGCTGCTGGAGACGCCCTGCTGGACCCAGAAGCCCCTGCCGCCCTTCCCGTTCACCAAATGATGGCCCTGGTCATGTCCCAGCTGCAGCCGGTCCTGGAGGGCTTCAACCGCTCCCTGGAGCAGCTGAGCCAGCAGGTAGGGGAGCTGGCCCGTGACATGGCCCAGCTGAAGAGCAGCCAGCAGGGCCCAGAGCTGCAGCAAGGGCCCCCGGAAGGCCCCGAGCTGGATGAGGTCACAGAGGAGCACGTGGGTGCCAGGCTGGACGAGGTGTTTCAGCACATCAGCGAGGTCCGGAGGCAAATGGAGAGCCAGCACACAGAAATGGAGAACAGGCTGCACACCCAGCATGCAATGCTGCACTACAACTTCACCAGTTTCAAGACAGACATCGACGTGAAGCTGAAGCGCCAGCAGAAGATGCTGCAGGTGAGACAGAGTCACAGACGCCTGCGGATTGAGACTGAACCTGCTGATGCTTTTCACTGATTCTTAATCTTTCACCCACTTTTGGTTTTGATCGATTGACCTTCCAGTCAATGCATTTACTTCAAACTATTCCAGAAAGTAAATGCAAAAAATGTAATGTCGGCAAAAGGTTTTTATAAGGCCTTTTGTCCTCAGCACAGCACAAACCCTAACACTATTACTATTATTTTGAGAAAACAAACAAGTGTCTTATCGTGCATGGGGCCGTAACCGATAATCAACAAAATGATTAAACACCATCCAACCTCTGTCCCTGGCCTCAGGCCAGCCTGCAGGCTATGAACACCACCCTGTCTGAGCTGAGGCCAGAGGGCCCTGAGGACCAGCTGGAGGGTCAGCTCCCTACACCCTGGGCACCACAGTCTTCAGACACATCTGTGCTCTGGGAAGCCATTGAACGACTTGACAACACGGTGGTCAACAACACGGTGAAGGTGGGTTGAACTAAGTACATGTATTTGTCCTGGTTAGATGTTAACTATAACCCTGTTTGGAGTCACTGAAGCCCTGAAGTCAGACCAGGAGCAGTTCTTCTCCTGAGGAAACATCAGGACTCATCCTGGAAACAGAGGTGGCTCCAACCTGCCTTATCTGATCTGGTACTGGCCGTGAAACTTACAGTGACCAGAACCAAAGTGACGGCAATTGACCCGAGTTGTTGTGGGACTTCTAAAGCAGGGATTTAAAAACAAGTCGGTTACTCAAGAAGCTACGATGGGGACGCTGACAATAATGAGAACCAATAGGAACACGTTTTACATAGTCTGGGCCCATTGTAAGGATGTATGGAACAGAATTAGTAAACACCACCAAGGTTTCAGTTCAGGAGCTGCTGTTCTTTTTTATTAGCTGCTGATACAGATGCACATTTTGTAACAGTAAATATCAGATGATGTGAGAAAGGTTCTGTGGCTTTTGAAGCCGTCACTGTGACTGAGTCATTCATTACAACATCGTTAAAACAAACAAAACATCAGGGAGAAGGTTTAAATGGAAGCCCTCTGTCACATGCTGTGCAGGTGAGCGGGCTCATGGAGGATGTGGAGGTGGCTTCGGGGAGCATCCAGCAGCTGAGGAGGGACGTGCAGAACCTGGAGCAGCAGCTCGACCAGGCGGCCCGCACCACTCAGGTCCTGTTCATGGAGACGGGGCTGGAGGTGGAGGATGCGAAGGTGAAGGTGCTGAGTCAGTTGAACGAGTTGGCGGGGAACCTGAGCGTGCAGGTCGAGCGGCTGCAGCAGATGGACGATGACGTGGACTACCTGTACACCGCTATTTACAGGAACGGTTCGTCTGGAGACTGTGACTGTAAGGCGCTGAGGGCCGCCGTGGTCCGGCTGGAGAGGGGCCTGGCCAACGTGACCGAGCTGGCCAACGAAAACAGACTGACCCTGGACGAAGCCAGCGAGGGATGGGCGGAGCAGTGGGGCCGGGCCAGTGACTGGGTGCTGCAGGTGGAGGCACTTCAATATGACCTCCAGCAGGTAGGACCGCTTTCTACTGGAGACACAGTACTGAGACACTTAGGTATAGAAATACCACTGTGAAAAAATACTCTGTTAGAAGTTCTTAGCTACATTCCAGCACTGCACATGGGAATACCAGTGTGCAAAATAGTGCACGTGGGCATACCAGTGTGCAAAATAGTGCCATACCAGTGTGCAAAATAGTGCAGTGCAAAATAGTGCATTCGCACACTTCACGCTTATTTAGGTAAATTTACACAAGTACTGTCAACAAAATGTATTTTTACTTTGACTTCAGTTGTTTCAACAGAATCTATTCAGAAGAATAATGCAGCTGTTTTAGAAAATACTGAGGTTGTGTTATTCCTAGTGCAGCGTGAGACAATAAGACAAAGATTAATTTAATAAGTGACTGAAAGTGCACGTACTGCGGTGAAGTACAGCTTTGAGGTACTCACACCTGAGCCACCGTTTCACTGCGTTTCCTGGCAGCTGCAGTTACTCCTCCAGTTTAGACTGTACTTTAAAACCAGCGAGGTCACGAAACGGCTGCAACACAACCGTGCACGTGACAGGCCTTTTCTTTGTCTTCATCTCAGTAACAGGTGGAAGGATCCGGTATTTCATGAGGCAACAGTTTTTATTTGCATCAAACTACAGAGCTGAAGCAGAACTGATCTGCTCACATTTTATCACGTGCACGGTTTCCTCACTACAGGGACCAGCCGGTGCAGAGTGTTACCGAGCCTTTGAGCAGTGGGACCCCGAGATGTTTAATGATGCTGTTTAGTCATCCCACCGTCTTTTCTTGTCCTGCAGGTGAAGGAGGCTCTGGCCTCGGAGCAGAGCAGGACCAACGCTCTGGACCACAGCCTGGCCCAGCTGACCAGCTCGGTGACGGTGGCTCTGGCCCAGGTGTCGGACCTGAAGGAGACGGACGCAAAGCTGAAGGAGAATATGCAGCACCTGTCTGCCTCATTCAACTCTCTGCTCCAAGACGCCATCCGGCACAGCGACGTGCTGGAGCTGCTGCTGGGGGAGGAGGTGGTGGACTTCCTGGAGAGGCCCACCCAGGACCAGGGAGCTTACTCCATCCTAGGCCTGCAGGAGCAGCTGAGAGGACACAACCTGAGTATCACATCACTGCTTGGCAGCAGACCAGGTATGAAGCACTGTCTACTGCAGCTCCACCACAGTAGAGTGAGGATGTAGGCTCCTGTTAAACTGCAGCGCGTTCCAACCTGCTGAGTTTCTTCTAAAAGTGAAAATCTGTAGCTGGTGCTGATTTCGCTGTCACTGAGGAAGGCAGGACTGTCTGCCCCGGTGATCCTCTTGTGCACATGGCTGTGACGCTACCACAGCCAGATCTTTCTACCTGCTTCTCTTTGAGATTCTGAGAAACGATGACTGAACTCTCTCAGAGAATAACCGGTTGCCATGGTGACGCGGTTTGATGCCACTTTTTGTTACCTCAAATCTCTGCAGTGGAGAAATTAGCTGGAGAGTCCCCATACTCACCTTTAGGGGAGATACAGTGGTTAAAAAGCCAGAGCCATCCTTTAAGGTGGCGATCCTTTGGTGACGTGTTTCCTCAGCACAGATCAGTGCACGCCACCTGCACCCACAAAGTTCTGCAAAAATGTAATCTTTCATAATGCTTAAGTTCCCCTATGCAGTATTTATAAGCAGCATAGTAGTACATGGTTTCTACCTGACTGATGCAGCTCAGTGTTCAGCTCTGACTCCTGCTGTGACTCCCAGAGGTGGATGCTGCTGTAGAAGCAGATAAACCACAGCTGGAGTCAAGTCAGAACGAATACTGCACATTACTAAACACCTGGACTTACAGCTGTGTACTCCTACACTGGAGTATAAATCATGTTTATTTGCTGATAAATAGGGAAACTTCGAGTACAAAGTGTTACCGTATCTATCCAGTGTATCCACAAACTGACTCGTTACCACTGTGACCTCACCTGTCCACATGGGAGGCGCCTCCCCACCCTGCCAGCTCACTTCCTGTCAGTGATTTCATCCTTTGGCTGTGGCATCGACTGACAAACTGTACTTTAACATGACTTACTGTTCATCTTTCTGCTCCCAGGAGGCAGAGAGGAGATGCCATCTGCTGACCAGCCTCCCTCGTCCTCCCACCTCCCTCCTCCTGGCACAGGGAGCAGCAGCAGTGGAGGTCCAACCAGGGAGCAGCAGCTTCTCCTCCACCCCGAGCACAGCGGCGACGGCAGTGACCTGTGGAAGCTGGAGAAGACTGTGGAGAAGCTGGGGCTGAAACTGCTGCAGCTGGAGGAGAAGCCCTGCACCTGCCCGAACATCTCCACTGGGAGAGCGGCGCCACCTGCTGGTGTGGACGCCAAACTGCAGGCGGAGGTAGTGTGGCTGAAGAGAGGGCTGGAGGAACATCTGAGGGTGTTCAAGAATGTGTTCAGTAACGCTGACGTGCTGGCGGCATCAGACGCCACGCTGGAGCTCGACAAACTGTGGCAGCTGGTGAAGAGCAAAGAGAAGAAGAGAGGAGAGCGGGAGGCAACAGGAAGAGGAGAAAACCATCGAAGCAGGAGGGACTCATCAGGTCAGTGGGCCCTATCCGACAGTATTGTGTTTGTCTAAACCCAGCCCAGTTTTATCAGCTTCCTAACTTTACAAATATCCAGAAAGACCTCACTTCACCTTGCACCGACTGCACACAGACTCAAATGACCCCCCAAGCTGTGGACAGTCCTGACCCCATCTCTCTCTCCAGGTGGTGTCCATGTCCCGGCTGGCCTATCAGGAGCCTCGCTGCTGTTCGTGGCTGCGTCTCCTCTGGGCGTCTCTAACGGCAGCATTGTGTTCAAAGCATCTCTCAACCGCGGTCAGTTCCACCCTGATCTTGGCACCTTCACAGCCCTGGTGGACGGAGTCTACCTGTTCGTCCTCACCTTAGACCTGAAGCTGGGTCCCACTCATGTGGTCCTGAGGAGGGAGTCGGGCAGAGCGCCACTGTCTCTACACGGTCAGGAAGTGACAGAGGCGGGGCCAGTCACACGTGTGGGCCTCCTGCTGCTGAGGGAGGGGGAGGAGGTGAGGCTGGACCTGAGGGGAGGAGCATGGGTGGAGTCAGAGGACAATGTGTTCGCTGGGCTGCTGCTCCACCGGACCACCTGAGGGCGCTGCGGATCTAAGACACTGATCAGCGAATGGGAGGGTGGGAAGGGGCGGAGCTGCTGGGGAGCAAGTGGAGGAAGGTCAAAGGACCAATCAGAAAAGCCAACACACGTGTGGACAGCTGAGCTGAGCCTTCTGTCACACACCAGCAGAGCTACGTACAAACCGTCGTTACACAAGGGAAGTTTTACTTCACATATTTCACAAGAACAAGATATTTGTACATAAAGTCACCTGTATGCAAAATGTCTGTAAAGTCCAGTATAGTTATGTAAAACACAGAGCAGAATATTTATGTAAAGCTGAGCGACGTGGTGGAAGTGAAAGGATGAAAAACCTGGAACCTAATAAACTTCATTCGTTCCCATTTTGAGTCAACGCGTTTTAGATTCTCACGTATAGACTTTGTTTCTCAGTTAACTTTCAGGGCTCTAGCTGATTTTTTATCTAATAACTTGCCAGGAAATGCAGTGTGTTGTATACAAAGATACAAATACAGTCTCATAACTACAAGATGCTGTACACATGAACTGCTGGAGGAGAATACAAGATGTAAAAACCTGACCCAGCAAAGTGAGCATTTACCCTCTGACGGGGACAAACAGTCAGCGTCCGTTCAGCGGCTGCTCATGATGATCTTCATCAGCAGTTGTCAGAGAAGGAAGACATTTAAGTTGTTGAGCCTCAAACCTGTTGACTGGTAACTGAGATTAAAAATAAAAACGATGTATTGGCTGAAACCTGTTCCTCAGAACATAGAACTACTGTGAAACCTCTGAACATCATCATCAACAATAAGCAGATAATTAAGTACAACGCTGAGCTACTTTACTCATATTTCCTTTTACACTATACTTCTACTCCACTACATTTCAGAGCGAAGTACTGTACTGTTTACTGTGCTGCGTGTACTTCACAGCTTCAGTTTCTTTGCAGATGCAGATTCCTGATACAAGATATCACAAACTATTAAATGACCATGTTTTGTTATGGACCAAGCCCCTGGCAGGACTTTATAATGAAACATTAATGCAGAAGAAATTATAATCCAACGATATCCTCTACCGTCCCAAGTCCTTTTACTTTAGGACGCTTGTAGTACATTTTGATGCCGATACTTTGACTTTTACTGAACTACTGTGACAGTGCATCTCCACACTGTAGTATTACTGTAGGGTCTGAGTACTTCTCACGCCAATGGTTATTAAAGAATCGCGTACAACGGGAACGAGACACACCAACCAGCACCGGTACATCATGCTGGACAATGTTGTGGTTTTACACGTGCGTTGTTTCCAGCCCACATCTAACCCGCCAAGAAAATTACCAAGTCGTCATGTTTTTCTCGATACACACGGTTTCCTACAGGGTCAACGTGTCAGACTCCGTAATCGGCAAGAAACAAGACGTGTGACTCGGGTGTCGACAGCCTGGTTGAGATTCTGAGACACAGAAAACTCGCAGTAGAGTCCTTTGGCTGCTGAAGACTTTATTGCAAAAATACAGACTCTGTCAGCAGAACACGAAGACACCAGTAGCTCAGTTTGACCCAGAGCAGGGAAGCACAGGTGGACTCATCACATCAGTTTCACCTGTGATTCTCCTGCTTTGACAAAAGGAACCGAGGCTATAGACTCCCCGAGAGGCAAGTGGAGAAAAGGTAAAACTGGTTTCCAAACATGCTGTAATGTTTATTTTGTCTCCTGTGAAAAAGTGAACATTTTTGTTGCTTCATTATTTTTTTGCCCAGATCAAAGGAACATTTTTTTCATTTGTAAAACTGATGAACATATGAAAAATTAGTTTTTCATTTGTGAAACAGGTGAAAAAAGTTTTTTGTGATGCTCATTTTTCTAATGCATGGAGAAATTAAAACTCAACTGGAAGAAAAGATGAAGACAACAGTCTGATTGCATGTCGTAGTGGTGCCCCCGTGTGGCCAAAACGAGCATTACAAAAACTAGAAATAAAACTAACCTTCCAAAAACATTGATTCACAAATGAAAAAATAAAACTCATTTAAAGTAATGATCCTGGCAAAACATTTTCCCACCTATTTCACAGATGGGAAAAAAATACCAAACTTAGAAAGATTTGCAAGACTAAACTTTTTTTGTCCATGTTTAGGTCATAGAGCAGACTTAGAAAATGGATCACCAGATTTTTTACCACTAGGCTCTCAGGGCTTCTGTACATGTCTGTGGAACGAGCAGGAAAAGAAACTGGCCAACTGCTCAACTGCTGTGTGCGACATCACACCTGAAAAATCAAAATGTGTATCAATTTTATGTGTGTTTCTGTTGTAGCTTCTCTCTTTGGTCATCAAACGTACATTGCACCTGTTTCACCACAGGTACGTCTTTACACCGATCATTCCAGCTGAGGGTTTTAATGCATTGGTAAAATCAAATTTGGTCTCATAAATGTAGCAAAGAAAACGCTGCTGAAGGTCGACACAGCACGTGAGCAGCCGCAACAGGAAATGTGACAAATTCTACTAAAATAATCTTCTATGCTCTGAACCTCCTGATCAGCTCGGTTAAGCTAGTGTAGAAAAATAAGCATCAAAAATATACCAAAGCCAACACAATAACATCTGGCTAAGCAAAAAGACAAAAAGAACTTTAACATGGTGAAAAAATAACTTCTCTTCTGTTGCATCGTTACCGTCACCACCTCAGGTCTGGTCTGAAAAGCTGAGCTCAATCAACCAGCAGATCAGAGTTCGTTTTGCTGCAGCGATGGAGACGTTACAGATGGATCGATAAATCAGGACAAAGTTAACCTTTCACATTTTGCTCCTTTGTACTTTAAATGATCAACACCTGCAGGAAACAGCAGTTGGGATCATTCAGGTAACGTGAGCTGTTTGCCAGGCATGCGACCAGACTTGGGTTTGTTTGTTCAGCTCAACTGGACACCCAGATGGGCAGGGTCAGTACTTGTAGCCAAGTGCCACTGGAGGACAGATCAAGCTGTTAATACGTAACAAAGTGATCGACCAAACTCTGGGCAGAGAAACAGAAGCTGCTCCCTGAACACAAGACGCGTAGACAGAAAGCAGTGGCAGAAGACGTCTACCTGCAACACTTGTGAAGTGCACTAGAGTTAAATGCAGTCAAGTCACTGCGCTAAAAAAAGATCTGCATATATCATTACAATAAATGTAGAAGCTGTAATAGGTCAGAAAACATCATGCTAAATATTAGCTGCAACTCTTCAAATCAAAGCTTTAGCTCTTCATCTAAACCCTGGAGATGAGACGGCTGCTGCATACCCCAGAGCAGCGGCAAAAGATAGAGGAGGTTATTCAGGATCTCTGCACAGCTCAGCCTGACAAGCCTAGTAAATAAATAGAGGAGGAAGTCTAGTAGGTTTATAGTCAAAGTCTGGAGGAGGATCCACTTCCTGTCCTTCATGGTGCGTCCAAGTGTGTGGACTCTGCTGCTCAGGAACCTGCTGCTGTCTGCTCACATCTGCAGCTCGAGACAAACGACGCTTGTTTCCCTGCAGAACGCTCGTCTCAGTCCTGCTCACTGCAGCTCGAGTGATACCGACAACTGATATGATCTAATAATAATAAACTCCCATGACCAACACTGACCCATGTGCGGTGAGCTGATATCGGTCGGTACACTGCTCATCATAAAACCTCTGACAGTGGAAGGTTCCCTGTGCTGCTGCAGACTGGAGAGCTTATTCCGAAACTTCAGGATGAACTGAAACACGTGTTGGCATGTGGTAAAACCTGACGACTCCATGTTGCATCTAATGGTGGACATGTGAGGAAGACATGAGCCTGATCAGCTGCCCGGGCGGAACCGAGCCATGTACGCACCGCAGGACGGGCAGTAGGGGCGTGATGGCTCCGCAGGAAGCTGCTGGCACAGTGAGCAGAGGTGGGGGTCCCTGCGGGGCCGGGGTGGATGGGAGTTGGTCCTCTGGAGGGACTGGTGGTGGTGAGCATTGCGGGGGTCCCAGGAAGAGCTGGGTGGCATAGTCCTGTAGGGGGTGTCACGGCGCCAGTCACTCTCAGGTGGCACATCCAGGCGGCGTGGCTGGGTGGGGGCTTCTCCTGGCAGCCTGAGGTGGGACGGAGT